GTGCCCGCATTCTTAACATACGGGAAACCAGACAAAGTCACGTGGTACATCAGCAATTCGAAACAGGTCACAAAATGGCAAAATATGAAAATATGAATCAATTAAATATAAAGAAAGAAGGTGGCAAAGACAGGTTTATATGCAAGAATAAACACATGCAGGGAAAATGTCCTGTATGTGTAGAATGGCTAGAAAAGAATGTATGCCAGACAGAAGACAATGGACACAAGTTTCATAGGGACTGTCTCTATAAAATGCAAAGGTATGTTTCCTTCTCATCATTATTGCTTTTACATTACTATCATAACAATATTGTAATCTGAAGTATTAAAATCAGATGGGCATTTTTGTTTGATTGACATAGAAGAAAACTAGAAATGTGTCCATAGGAAACGAGTGCCCCCACACTCCACTGTTCTGTCAATCTTATGACTCTAGGTAAATATTTTTCGGACTACATATGCCACATGTTGAAAACTAAAAATCTTTTAATAAGTAAAGGGCAAGAACTTTACAAATACTGAATAAATCCACAAGCAAACCCCAAGGTGCATAAGTTCACATGCTGACCAACATTCTTGTAAACTTTCAGGCCTACAAGTCAAATACTTTTTGAGCTATGCATGAACAAGTTGAAGATTGCAAATCTATACAACTGTAAGTCAAGGGCAAAAACTCTAACAAAACTGAAAAAATCCACATGCAAATACCCATGTGCATAGCTTTGCAGTGATGTTGATTATTATTCCTGTAAAGTTGGTTGATTCTAACTCAAGCACTTAAAGAACAAATAACACAACATAACGAAACAGTTTTTACTAAGTCAAGGGCAATAACGGTACAAAAACTGGATAAATCCACAAGGAAAACAAAGGTGCACATTTACACATGCTGATTAACATTCCTGTAAAGTTTTATGACCCTAGGTTAAATACTTTTTGAGCTACATGCGACACAAGTTGAAAATTGCAAATTTTTACTAAGTCAAGAGCAATAATTCTACATGGTATATAAACAAAATAAATCCACAAGTGAAACTCCAGGTGCGCAACTTCACATGCTGGGCAACGTTCCCGTAAGGTTTCATGACTAGGTCAAATACTTTTTGAGTTACATGCGACACAAGTTGAAAATTGCAAATTTTTACTAAGTCAAGGATAACTCTAAAAAATGCTATATAAATCCATACGAAAATACCAAGGTGCACAACTACACATGCTGATCAACAATCCTGTAAAGTTTCATGACTCTAGGTCAAATACTTTTTGAGTTATGTGCGACACAAGTTGAAAATTGCAAATTTTTACTAAGTCAAGGGTAATAACTCTAAAAATACTAAATAAATCCACACGAAAATACCCAGGTGCACAACTGCACATGCTGATCAGCATTCCTGTAAAGTTTCATGACTCTAGATCAAATACTTTTTGAGTTACATGCGACACTGTCACACAAAAGAGAAGGGATGGACGGACAAGGGTAAATCTAAATGCCCCCCCCCCCCCCCAAGTGGGGGCACAAAAATATTTCTACACATCCATTTTAATGGAATTTTTTAGTATATAGGAAGATCTTGTTTATGCTTCCTTCACTTAAAGGCATCCTTCATACTTCTTATTTATAAAATCATTTCATGATAAACTACTTTTATTGATCATCGATATTTTCTTATAAAAATGAGTCCAAGACAGAAAAGGCCGGGTTGCATTTGTATACCAAATATCATGAGGCTGTGATGTTACAAAAAATGTTTACCATTGACCATTAATGTCAAAAATTTAACTAAGTCGGTAAACAGGAAGTGGATGAGCGACAGACCTGAAATTGAATCCCACAGTATGGGACCATAACGCAATGCTGTATGCTAAATATCAAGAAGCTGTGATAAGTAGTTGCTGCGAAAACTGTAACAAAAATTTCCTCCTAACATCAATTTGTCCATTAATGTTGGAAATTTAACTAAGTTGTTAAACAGGAAGTGGATGAGCGACAGACCTGAAACCAAATCCCACAGTATGGGACCATGTGTCAATGCTGTATGCCAAATATCAAGAGGCTGTAATAAGTACTTACTGAGAAAACTGTTACAAAATTTCCTACCATTGACCATTAATGTTGAAAATTTAGCTAAGTCGATAAACAGGAAACGGATGAGCAACAGACTTGAAATCTAATCCCACCGTATGCAAACCTGTGTCAATGCTGTTTGCCAAATATCCAGAGGCTGTGATGAGTAGTTGCTGACAAAACTGTTACGAAAATTTCCTACCACTGACCATTAATGTCAAAAATTTAACTAAGTTGTTAAACAGGAAGTGGATGAGCGACAGACCTGAAACCAAATCCCACAGTATGGGACCATGTGTCAATGCTGTATGCCAAATATCAAGAGGCTGAGCGACAGACCTGAAATCAAATCCCACGGTATGGGATCATGTGTTGCTTCTGTATACCAAATATCAAGAGGCTGTGATAAGTAGTTGCTGAGAAAACTGTTACGAAAATTTCCTACCATTGACCATTAATGTTGAAAATTTAACGGGTCAATGCTGTATGCCAAATATCAAGGGGCTGTGATAAGTAGTTGCTGAGAAAACTGTTACGAAAGTTTTTCCCCGCCCACCCGCCACTCACCAAACTATAACCCGGGTTTGCACCAGTGCAACCGGCCAAAAATGTGTCATTATTTTGGAGACCAACTTTCTATTGATATGGTTAATATGTAATGTGCAGTGCTACAGAAACATTCTGATAAGATAAAGTACAATACTATGTTTGCTTTTTCCAACAAATTTCCTGTCAACTTGGTGACTACAATAATATGTAAATATGTGGATAACAATTACATTCTTGTCTAGAAAGCTAATGTATAGTTTGAAGTTGTTGTACCATTTAGTTTATATACAAATTTATTTTAGTTTGATTGTGTTGGAAGCTGTAAGCTTATTGAAACACTCTCGCATTAGTTCCTGGAACCAACCAGTACTAAGCAATAAATGTAAAGTTTCTTGCTCAAGGAAACAAATGTTTGCCCCTGACAGGGTTTAAACCCACACGGTCAGCAATCCTTAGATTACTTTTCTGAAACATTAACAACTCTGTCACGCTGCCACTCTTATGTTGTACCATTTAAGCGAACACAGTTAATATGATATCAAGAGCTGTCGGTAGGATAGCCTGCTCCACTTTTCTCAGTGCTTGATAGTAAAAAAAAAAGAGACTCTGGATAAGGTAGATTTTTCATCAGTTCAAAAAAGGCCTTAATTATGTCACAGTCCATGTGAGTAATGGGCCTTGCAAAGTGACCTGCTATTATTCTCTACAAGAATTTGTAACAGAATTACCAACGTCCCCTGCCTCGGGAAAGTTTTATATGAAGCATAAAATTGTGCTATTTCAAAAGATTGAGGTATGGATCTCAGGACTTTCAGTCCAAAATTATGATCAATGCTAGATCTGCAAATGCAACAATAAATTTATTAAAGAAATAAAATGAAACACGGACTTAAAAAATCTATCATGTCAAGCTTTGACCTCTAAGTGTGACCTTGACCTTGGAGGTAGGGGTGCAGGTGTTGTGCATGACATATCATCTTATTATTGTGACTATTTGTGCCAAGTATTTTCAAAATCCCTTGAATTATTAAGAAGTTATAAATCAGATACAAAATATACCATATAACAGACTACGTTCAGCTTTGACCTCTAAGTGTGACCTTGACCTTGGAGGTAGGGGTGCAGGTGTTGTGCATGACATATCATCTTATTATTGTAACTATTTGTGCCAAGTATTTTCAAAATCCCTTGAACTATAAAGAAGTTATAGATCGGACACAAAATATACCTATAACAGACTATGTTTTTTTAACATGTTTGATGAAATGTTATTTTATTTGACAACTTTAATTTCCTATAGTTTTGTATATACATCTACACTGCCATTTTTCACAGCATAAATGTATACATGTATTTTATTTTAGCTCTGGCAAAAGATGTCCTTTATGCATTGAGGACAACATCCCACCTGAATGTGACTGCTTCAAATTGAAGGTGATAATATTCATATTTTAACTTTCTTGATTTAAAACAAAATAATGCTATGATAAGATACAATAAGACTCCAAACAGACTTTAGCAATATGGTAACAAAACTAAGCATTGTTAGTCTTAGATTGCTGTCTACTGTGTGTCCATCACAATTCTTAAATAAATGCATCTTATTGATCCAACATTGATTTTTTCGCATAAAACAGAAGCTGTAAATGGGCCTTTTCCCAATTCACAAAGCCGTTGATATTTGCCAATGTAACCTTGAATATATTCCCCAAAATAGTGCAGATTTTCCCCACACAGTTTAATTTTTCAAGCATATATGGCATTTTATGAAAAAATGTGTGTGGTGGTAGGGGGAGGAAGAAGGGATTGATGACAAGTTGATATGTTACTCATGCCATATCTATACTTGTTTGATCTATAATAAGATACATGTTCATAGAGTGGTGGAAAAATATGCCATACTGGGATCCTACATATTTACCGGACAATCAGTTTACCAGACAAAATCTATTCCTGTCGAATATTGCTAATTAAAAAATCATCCGGTCTGAATTGTACACACACTTTCTATTTCAAAGTAAATAACAACAAAACCACTCTCAGGTAAATATTGTTGATTCAGTTCTTTATTTACCAACATGCCCCTTTGTTTACTAGTTATTTCAAGACCTGGTCATGCGGGGGAATAATCTGTACTGTGCATGCCCGAATATTGAGGCCCGTAATGGGTTATTTCAAATAGGTTTTACTTTTAATTGTTCTTGACGTTATCTCAGGACACAATCATAACATATTTTAATGATAAAAAGTAGATTTTAAATTTAGTCCAAACATAATCTTGTTGTTGTCTTTTACAAAGAAATGCAAATTAAAAAACATTTTAGGAAACGGGTTAAGCCCATGGGATGAAATGTAAATAAAATAGATTTTATGGCTTTTGTAACATGCTACGTGATGATCAAAAGGAAACAGTATGGCAAAGAACAGAATTCCACTTGAATATCAAAATTTTTCATACGTTTAAGGATCATGACGAATCAATACGTTAATTGAGATAATAGTGTTCATTTCAATCACATCCTATATATTGGCCTCTTCGTAACAAGCATGGCTGCCGTGTCTATTTTCAGTGGCATACTGGGTTTTTCCATTATCTTAAACCTTGCCATTGACCTTATTGATTATTTAAAGATTGATTTCAATTCACAACTTCAAAAAATTTTCTCCGGTAAATTGAGATGTTTACACATTTTTTTTCTCTAATAATGCCCCTCTTTGAAGACACATTTTTATGGTCAAAATGTTAATTTTGTGTTTGATAATATCGGTTCATATGAATTAGGAACCCAGAATCAATTAGGTAAAATTTCATTGTTTTTCATGGTTTTAAAAAAAAGTTACAGCCACAAAACAACATATTTTGTCCGGTAATATGTATGATCCCGGTATTTTTCTTTGAATATTCTGATGGACGTTTTAATGGAACTTGCATTAATTTGCAGAAAACTGTGACCTATATTAAACAACAAAACTGTTATTTAATATTTTTCAGCATAAAAATGTACCGGATAAAGCTGCGATGAGGGACATGGCCCAAGAAAATGTCAAATGTGACACCTGTAAACATGTTGGTCCATTTGCAGAAATAAAGAGGGTAACATTTTAAATCATTTCATTTTGAAATCTATTATTATGTTTTAAGTTTCTATTACAACTAAAGTAATAAAGAAAACACCCTCTACTTGAAAATTTAATAAGATGCAAGTTTTATACATACAGACTTCAACTTAATAGACAATCTGAAGTATAAAATGATTTTTTAAAATTTATACAAAACCACAATTTGTTTTCGTAATACTTTTGTTAATAGTTGTATTGTAAGCATTCTTGTCTAGTTCTAAACCAAAAAATTACAAAATGAAAGAATATTTGTGAGAAATTTAATTAAACTACTAATGATTTGAAAGAGAAAGAGAGCTCATGACAATAACCAACCAATCATTGCATATTCATTAACTTTCCATTAGGAGTTCACTTTTAATATTAAAATAAAAACATTTGCAAGAGCTGTCAGAGAAGGAGCGTAAGCCGCTTAAAGTGACATGTTTAAAAATTATGTAAGATAAATAAGCAAAAACATAAATTTCATCCAAGGCATTTAAAAATGATTCATTTGATTGAAACCATAATTTCAATGATAAAAAAGGCAATTTGTGTAAATATTTTTTAACTTTTAATTTTAATAAGTTACTTCCACATCGGTTTCCCCCAAATTTTTAGTATATTAATTACTCTTCCTAAAATTAAATGTAGGTGTGCACACAAATGTTTATTTACATTTGCACGGTTGATTGCATTAACCCTGCTGTTCCCCTTTAGAGAAACAAAATATCCCTGTACTTACTAATCTTGGTAGAGGTCCACCAGACAATGTCTTATGCATAATATCTAGGCCTTGTGGGTCTTTACAAGATTTTTATTTCCCTATAATTCCTTTTGGTTGCAATGGCAACCAGATTTCTGCATGGAATCAAATTCTTTGAACAAATTTGGAAGCCCTTTACCCAAGGAACAATCCTGCCAAGTTTGGTTGAAATTGGACTTGTGGTTTTTAACGAGAAGAGTTTTAAGTTCACTAATATAATCTACATAACACACACACACAAGTGAATCGCTAAAGGGGCATAACTTTGCAAAATATAAATAAGAAATGGCATATTTTGATTTAAAATAAGTATACCAACTTTGAAGTGAATAACTTTGACAGTTTCTGAGAAAATATATCTTAATATATTACAGTGACCTTGTTATAGGTGTCACATGCAAAATTCATCAAGTTTCATTCATATGACAAGTTTCAATGTAACAGCTTTGTACCTATTTAGATAAATGAGCATAAATTAACAAAAACAACCAGCAACAACTGGCACTGATGTACAGTTATTTCCCCTTTCACAGTGACTGACCACCTGGTTCTCCACATCATCATATAATGGATTTAAACCTGCAACTTGACAATTTAAGCCACTAGATGGCGCTGGGGCAGATTTCCATGGTATTTTTGACATGCTTCACATCTAACAGCCCTTTTTTGAAATAGTGAATTAATCAAGAAGTATTTTGCCTAAAAACTTTTTGTATAACTTCTTTGCAACATTTGAAATAAAATGGCTGAGAAAATTTCATGAAAATTCACTTCAATGTACATTGTGAGAAAAATCACTTAAATGTACATTGTGAGAAAAATATCAGTTAACTGTCAAAAATTTGAAAATCCCGGGGCGGAGTAATTGTAAAAAAATAAACATTGCAGGGTTTAATCTCCTGTAGAAGCTTGAAATATTAATCTAGGCATCTGTTTGGAAAGCGAGCTTATCAGTAATAACAAATGTTATTGTCTGCTAAAGTGTTTGTTCACATCAGCTAAATTTAGCACAGGTTCAATTGTCCCCTGCATGAGTGATGGTTAGTTTATCTGATAAACATGCCTAAAAAATTCTCCATACCATGGATTTTTGCAACTTTAAGTTGTGGAGTGGGCAATGAAAATGTTACAGACAGATAGAGGTCATACCTATGTCCCCTTCCCGCTATGCAGAAGATTAACAAGTGGATCATGATAACAGCTCCAGTTATCCTTCATTACATGCATTTAAAAAGTAAATCCATAGTACTTTTAATTTATCCCAAATGTGTTGCTTTATTTGTATCTGTTAAAATTGTTTTTGAATACATATATTTCAGTTACACACAGAAGGAGGATGTGACAATGCTGAGGGAGGATATGACAATGCCGAGGGAGGATTTGACAATGCCGAGGGAGGATTTGACAATGCCGAGGGAGGATTTGACATTGCCGAGGGAGGATTTGACAATGCCGAGGGAGGATATGACAATGCCGAGGGAGGATTTGACAATGCCGAGGGAGGATTTGACAATGCCGAGGGAGGATATGACAATGCCGAGGGAGGATTTGACAATGCCGAGGGAGGATTTGACAATGCCGAGGGAGGATATGACAATGCCGGGGCAGGATGTGACAATGCCAAGGGAGGATGTGACAATGCCGAGGGAGGATTTGACAATGTTGGTTGTACATGGCAATGTACCATATGTTAGACAACAATTGGGATCTAAGTAATAGATCCCAATATTTATTTAAGATTTCACCAATATTTTTGTCTGATAAAAAAAACTTTTAAAAATATACAAACCAAGTTCAAACCTATTTTAGCTTATAGACAACCTAAAAATATTCAAGATTATCTTATGAGAAGTGCTTAACTTGATCCCACATTTTAATCAAGCCAATGTTTACAAAATAGATGTTCACATTGTATCAATATAATTGTTGGTTCTTTATTTCAATATCTGAAAGAAAATGTAGATAATTTTGATGATAATTTTAATTGTAAATCATTTATTTAAGGTTCTGAAGTTAATGATTTTAAATATGATATTTTATTTTTAGAATTGAAAAGATACATTTATTTGTCAAAAAGAAAAAACATGTTACCTACATTACCTGGATTTAGAAATAGTCTTAAATTGGCGTGGAATATTTACAAATATACAAATTTGACCAAACATGTAAATGAAGGATGGCAAATTGTAAGAACTTTAATAAACTAAATGGGCTACACTAAATTAATTTATCCCAAACAAATATTCTTTGTTTGATTTTTTTTGCATAATACATAATCATACATAATTGTTATATGAAAATTAATTGAATATTATCTGAATATAATGTATATTGTAATTATTAACCAGGTTTTCCGAAGGAAAAAACTGGTTATTAGATTGAGGTATGTCGGCGGGCAGGCGGATGGGCGGACGGGTGGGCGTAAACAATTTCTTCTGTGCGCAACTCCTCCTACATTTCTCAACGGATGTTGACCAAACTTTCACAGAAGCTTTGTCATCAAGTGCCCTGGCGCATATTGTCGGGGTTTTGTGATTGGATAATATTTGACCTAATTATGGCCCTTTGTTTTTTTTCCTTATATAGAATATTTAGTGAACAATTTCTTCTGTGCGCAACTCCTCCTACATTTCTCAACGGAATTTGACCAAACTTTTACAGAGGCTTTGCCATCAAGTGCCTTGGGGCTTTTTGTCAGGGTTTTGTGATTGTGTAATATTTGACCTAATTATGGCCCTTTGTTTTTTTTCCTTATACAGAATATATAGTTAAAAAATTCTTCTGTGCTGATCTCCTACATTTCTTAACGGATTTTGTTCAAACTGTCACAGAAGCTTTGTCATCCAGTGCCCTGGCGCATATTGTCGGAGTTTTGTGATTGGATAATTTTTTACCTAATTATGGCCCTTTGTTTTTTTTCCTTATACAGAATATATAGTGAAAAATTTTTACCATGCGCAATTTCTCCAACATTTCTCAACGGATTTTGACCAAACTTTCACAGAAGCTTTGTTATTAAGTGCCATGGCGCACATTATCGGGGTTTTGTGATTGGATAATATTTGACCTAATTATGGCCCTTTGTTTTTTTTTTCCTTATACAGAATATATAGTTAAAAAATTCTTCTGTGCTGATCTCCTACATTTCTTAACGGATTTTGTTCAAACTGTCACAGAAGCTTTGTCATCCAGTGCCCTGGCGCATATTGTCGGGATTTTGTGATTGGATAATTTTTTACCTAATTATGGCCCTTTTTTTTTTTTCCTTATACAGAATATATAGTTAAAAAATTCTTCTGTGCAGATCTCCTACAGTTCTTAACGGATTTTGTTCAAACTGTCACAGAAGCTTTGTCATCCAGTGCCCTGGCGCATATTGTCGGAGTTTTGTGATTGGATAATTTTTTACCTGATTATGGCCCTTTGTTTTTTTTTTTCTTATACAGAATATATAGTGAACACTTCTTCTGTGGCAATTCCTCCTACATTATTCATGTTTTACATTGCACATAGTTACATTGTTTGTTACTTGTATTTGTATTTCAAATACAACATATTTATCTACAATGGTGATAATTGAAAACCTGGTTTCGTGGCATTGCCATGTTTCTTGTGTTATTTTAGATTATTGTAATATTAAGTAGATATCTAGTAAAGTGTCAGGGGGATTACCCAGTAAACGGGGTTACCCAGTATGGGGCCTCAGAAAAAAACAAGAACATGTTTGTTAAACACAAATGCCCCCCGCTCAGATTCTTGTCAGTAGCAATACTTCAAAAAATGTTTACCCATTCACTCAGTTATGGACAGAAAAATCGCCAAAAAATTGTAAACACAAGTTTTATAGCTTGACAAAGTCATGGCATATTGTAATTGTGAAAAATATAAGTTGCCAAGTCATTGCTCTGATTTGTGAAGTTGAAAAATATTCAACTTCATGCAAGTTATCTTCCTACCAAATATGAAATACATCTGTCATTAAATAAAGGCTGTATGGGCAAAAGTGTAAAAATATATTTTGAGCACTGGTGACCTTGACCAAACTGACCCCTAACTCTATCCAAAAGGAGAATACCATGTAAGTTATCTTCCTACCAAATATGAAATACATCTGTCATTAAATAAAGGCTGTATGGGCAAAAGTGTAAAAAAATCTATTTTTAGCACTTGTGACCTTGACCCAACCGACCCCTTACTCCATCCAAAGGAAGAATACCAAGTTACTTCCTACCAAATATGAAATACAACTATCAATAAATAAAAGCTGTATGGGCAAAAGTGGAAAAATCTATTTTGAGCACAAGTGACCTTGACCCACTGATCCCTACCCCAATCAAAAGGATGAATACCATGCAAGTTATCTTCCTACCAAATATAAAATATATCTGTCACTTAATAAAGGCTGTATGAGCAAATGTGTAAAAATCTATTTCAGCACTGGTGACCTTGACCCAACTGACCACTAACTCCATCAAAGTTTATGTTTCTATCAATTATAAATAACATCTGTCTATAGAATAAGGTCAATACACCTGTAAAAATGTAAAAATCTATTTTTAACATTGGTGACCTTGACATTGGTGACATTGACCTTGACCCAAATGACCCCATACTACACCCAAAGAAGGAGGTGTTTGTACTAAACTAAAACATCAACTAAACAAGAGGGCCATGATGGCCCTGAGGTCGCTCACCTGTATATAGGCCCCCCACCCCCGGGCCAATTTTTACCCAAGGGCTTTTATTTGTTTATTTGAACAGACTTGGTAGACACCCATAAGAAGATGTTTCATGCTAAACATCTAAGTTCTAGCTCATTGGCATTTTTAAAAGAAGATTTTTAAAGTTTTTACTATACACATATGGTTAAAAACAATGTCACCCCTGGGGCAGGGCCAGTTTTGACCCCCGGGCGTTTATTTTAACAAACTTTGTAGATATTTACTTAAAGATGTTTCATGCTTAATATCTAAACTCTAGCTATTTGGGTTTTTCCACAGAAAATTTTTAAGTTTTTACTATACACATAAAAGGAAAATCAATGACCCGACCCCCCCCCCCCCCCCGGGCGGGGCCAGTTTTGACCCCAGGGCTTTTTATTTGAACATACTTGGTAGACACCCATTAGAACATGTTTCATGCTAAATATCTTAGCTCTAGCTCTTTGAGTTCTTTGATTTTTTAAGTTTTTACTATATGCATATAGGGAAAATCAATGACCCCCTGGGGCTGGGCCAATTTTGACCCCAGAGTTTTTATTTGAACAAACTTGGTAGACACTCATTAGAAGATGTTTCATGCTAAATATCTTAGCTCTAGCTCTTTGGGTTCTTTAAAAGAAGATTTTTTAAGTTTTTTCTATATGCATATAGGGAAAATCTATGACCCCCTGGGGCAGGGTCAATTTTGACCCCAGGGCTTTTATTTGAACAAAATTGGTAGACATTCACTAGAAGATGTTTCATGCCAAATATCTAAGCTCTAGCTCTTATGGTTCTTTAAAAGAAGATTTTTTAAGTTTTTACCATATGCATATAGGGAAAATCAATGACCCCCGGGGCGGGGCCAATTTTGACCCCAGGGCTTTAATTTGAACAAACTTGGTAGACACTCACTAGAAGATGTTTCATGCTTAATATCTTAGCTCTAGCTCTTTGGGTTCTTTAAAAGAAAATTTTTTAAGTTTTTACTATATGCATATAGGGAAAATTTATGACCCCCTGTGGCGGGGTCAATTTCAACCCCAGGGCTTTTATTTGAACAAACTTGGTAGACATTCACTAGAAGATGTTTCATGCCAAATATCTAAGCTCTAGCTCTTATGGTTCTTTAAAAGAAGATTTTTTAAGTTTTTACTATATGCATATAGGGAAAATCAATGACCCCCGGGGCGGGGCCAATTTTGACCCCAGGGCTTTAATTTGAACAAATTTGGTAGACACTCACTAGAAGATGTTTCATGCTTAATATCTTAGCTCTAGCTCTTTGGGTTCTTTAAAAGAAGATTTTTTAAGTTTTTACCATGTGCATATAGGGAAAATCAATGACCCCCTGGGTCGGGGCCAATTTTGACCCCAGGGCTTTTATTTGAACAAACTTGGTAGACATTCACTAGAAGATGTTTCATGCCAAATATCTAAGCTCTAGCTCTTACGGTTCTTTAAAAGAAGATTTTTTAAGTTTTTACTATATGCATATAGGGAAAATCAATGACCCCCGGGGTGGGGCCAATTTTGACCCCAGGGCTTTAATTTGAACAAACTTGGTAGACACTCACTAGAAGATGTTTCATGCCAAATATCTAAGCTCTAGCTCTTATGGTTTTTTAAAAGAAGATATTTAAAGTTTTTTCTTTTGGTTGCCATGGCAACCAGAGTTCTGCATGGAATTAAATTCTTTGAACAATTTTCAAAGGTGACCACCAAAGGAACATTCCTGTGAAGTTTGGATGAAATTGGCTCAGTGGTTTATGAGGAGATGTCATTTAAAGCAAGTTTACGGACGGACGGACGACGGCCGGACGAAAAGCGATCACAAAAGCTCACCCTGTCACTTTGTGACAGGTGAGCTAAAAATAAAGGCTGTATGAGCAAAAAGGTTTATATTTATTTTTTAAACCAGTGACCTTGACCTTGACCCTAGAGACCTCTTACCCCCAAAAAAATTAGAGGACCATCAAAGGTATCCACCTACA